CTTCACCCAGGCACCATCCCCAGAGATCTGAGCATGTCGGGGCGGCAGGAGGAGGAGGAGGGCCCCTTCCCCACCAGGGTGCACTGGCCTGGAGGTGTGCTCCTCGGGGATGCCCACAGGTCCCCACCGCCCCCCCAAGTGGAGCCACCACCCGCCCCAGGAAAGGTGGCTCACGTAGGCAGGGCATGGCCACGTGTGCCACGTATGCACCTATGGCACCCCTACATGAGCATGCACGTCTGCACCTACGTTAGTAGCCGCAGGTATGAATGAAATTAATTGGTTTTAATTAGCCTGTGTAAACAAGATCCTTAAATTTGTTGCCACATGAGAGTTTTGGCAGTCTCCAATAAATTAATCCTTTTTATTATATCAATGACAGGGAGATGATCAAATAGGCTTTGATATAGATTTTGGGATTTATCACCTAGTAGCACGCTGATACGCTTGAACTTTTTTTTCCTGCTGCTGCTGCTGGAGGCAAGAACGAGGCTACAAATGGTGTTTGCTTCAGAGCCTGCTCACAGGTGAAACAGGGGATTTGGTGACAAATGGATGGGGGACGCCAGGGAAACTTTGAAGAAAAGTTTGTCTTCGGGATTTGTTGGGAAAGTAGAGTTTTCAGTGGGTAGGGACACATGGGGACAGATGTGGGGGCAAGGGGGATCCTGTAACAAGGCATAGCAATTAGTGTGTTGGGTCAGCAGATCCTGCAGTCAGAGGCTGAGCTGAACTGGCAGCACAGTCCCTGGCTTCACATCCGATGCCAGGGCATACGGTGCCTTCATCCAGCCATTCCTGCTGGCGAGCAGAGGATGGCGGAGGGGAGAGCTGGGCCCCTGCAAGCCCTGGGGCGCGGGAGGTCTCGAGGCTGTGAGGCTGTGTCCAGCTGGAGCTGGCTGTCCCAGCCACGCGTAGCCAGCGTTGCCAAATGTCCCTTTGCTGCGCGGTGTCCAGCGGGACAGCGCAGGGCAGGGGCGATGGGCGAGCATGGGAGTGACAGCCCCAGACCTGCAGGCCCTGGCCAAGTGGCTCTGCCCACCGGTACCATCCCACGGCTGTCTGCCTGGCACGGCGTGGCACAGAGCCAGCCCAGGGCTTTTCCCCACTCACTCGGATGCTGCTTCACTGCCCTCCGAGAGAGTGGTATGTATGTGTAGACAAGGACAGCACCCCGGGGCTTTTGGGCTGTGCTAAAAACGGCATGCTCACTCACATGGCCTTAGCGAGGGCAGCAGGAGCCTGTCGGCTGCCATTTCATGGCATCAGCAGCTACACCAAGACCTCCCGTTTCTCCTATAGTCTCAGCTTGCGCCCGTTTCTCTCCACACTGGCTCCCCATTAGCCTGGTCTATGCACATCTTTCCTCCCACTGTGCCGAGCCTGGGGAGCGACAGGCTTCACTGGTGCTGCAGGACACCTTGTCAGGTCTGGTGCCCACAGCAGATTTCTTGCTCTGGCACGTCACAGCTGATTTCCCAGGTACTGCTAGGACGCAGCCCAGCACCTGTGGCTCAGATGTCAGCAAAGGTTTTAAATGCCGGCACCATCCTGCCCTGTCACCTGCTGCAGGAAGGAGTGAGCAGCTTTGTATTTCAGGTGCATGGGGAAAACAAATTCGGTGGCAGATGGGCTGCTTGGGCTGCCCAGCATGCCCGCAGGAGGCGAGCAGCACCCACGTCCCGCCTGGAAAGCCCAGGAGACCAATTTAGCAGCCGTGCCGTCCCAGGCATCCCCTCTCCACTGTGGGCGCGACGGCCAGTGAGCTGCTGTGCACAAAACCTTCTCCTGCTCTCTGCCACCAAGGGAAGGATAACTGGATGGGAATTCTAATCATATATTATATTACCGTGTCATATTAGACTAATAAAATCCTAATATGATACAGGAATGGGGAGCATATCATAACTCCTCTGTGGCTAATACAATGCATGCAATAAATCACTCCCAGGGCTTATCCTTAACAATTGTATCAGTGCTTTCTGTGTCATGCTGATAACTCAGTCCCTCTGATCTAATGGTTCACTTTTCTTCACAGTCCATATGGCAGTGACATTAAAGCTAATGAAATAAAATAAAATTTGCCAATCTTTGAAGAATTCCATTCTTTAAAAAGATGTATTTTATTAACACAAACTGGAAACATCTTCAGTTACTCGGAGTTATTTTTATCGCATTGGAAATACATGGCACAGATATTGGCATCAGCATCTTACATCCGACTCGTGTGTGGTCTTTGCAAAAGACATCGCTACAGGATAACACCACATCGTTCAGCCTAGCACGTTTAACGCCAAGTTCGCATTGTCAGCGGAGCTGCCCCCATTGAGCCAGTCCCATGGGGCATTGATTTCGCCGTGCCAGAAGGTTGCAATCTCCCCCGACTCTTCCCTTCCTGGGCTGAGGATCCCTCATTGCATCCAAGGCCAGATACGCAGGGAGCCGGGAGCTTGGCGTCTGAATGCCAGGGAGAGGAGATCATCCCCTGCTTTGCTTTTGGCACATGAAGGTTTGCTTTTCTTCCTGGGATGGTGAGAGGGCTGCAGAGGCTGCTCCCATAGCTCTGTGAGTCGCAAACCCGGGTCTGTCTGCTGGAGCACCGGGCGCCGTTTCTCCCTGGCCGCGGGGCTTCTCACAACCCCTCCTGCAGGACACCCCGGCCACCGGCAGCTCCTCAGTGCAGTGGCCGTGCTGCAGTCCCCCCAGCCCAGGTGCAGAGCGGTCGGATGGGAGCCAGGCCTGGTCCTAAAAGTGGCTCGTCCAGCCGTGCATAGGGGAGCATTGCTGCAGTCCCCCCAGCCCAGGTGCAGAGCAGGTCGGATGGAGCCAGGCCTGGTCCTAAAAGTGGCTCGTCCAGCCGTGCATAGGGGAGCACCGTGGGTCTCTCCTCCAGACATCCGCGCACCTGTCACAGCCCCGTGATGCACAGTGCGGCGATGACAGCAGCATGGACCTTCATCAGGACGGTGCCGGGCACAGGAGACGGTGATTCCTGGGACCTGCTGCAAATCCCCCTGGCCGTTCCCGCTGTGCTCTGTGTGGGATCTCCAGGCTGGCAACTCCCAGAGCCGGCGGGAGCCACGGCCATGGGGCACAGGGCTGGTGGGCTTTGCTGGTGGCAGGGGGCTGCAGCGGCTCCAGTTGCAGCGATGCTGGCATGCACCAACAGCTCAAACCTGGGCGCGGGGAATCAGGATTGCGCCACCAAGCAGTCCCACAGGTGGGGAGGGCTGAGGGTCTCCTCCCCACGCCAGGATGGGCACACGGCGCTGCGGCAGAGGTCCCGCACGGCTGGGGGGGCCACAGCCCCCGTCTGGGGTGCGTGCGCGGAGGAGGGATCTTTGCACGAGTCACTGTTCCTGCTCGAGGCTCTGACGGCCCTTCGGGGTGTAGCTACTGGGTGAAACACAATACCATCAACAGCGTGATCCTAATACTGGTGCTTGCAGTAAACCTTTCTGATGTGTGATCAAGCCTCAAGGATAAGATGTTTATTATTTGCCATGTAGCCACGTGGCTGTTCTCCAATGTAAGGAAAGGCCAAATTGCACTTGTAATTCAAAGGGACCCAAAGCCTTAATGCTGTAAAGAAGCACGCTAATGATGCCCAGCGGGCGCGGGGCATGCAAGTGCGGCCCAAAGGTTGTTGATGGCCTTCCTATGAACCTCCTCAGTGTGTGACAGGTCCTTGCCTGTGGCCAGCAGAGATGTGATCAAGATGAGGGACGTCTGTGTGTTCATTACGCTGCCTACGCCTCCACTGACACACTTTACATTTAAAATACTGTTTCCATTGAGCTGGAGCATAAAGACTGAGCGTGTGGACTTGGGGAGCTCCATTAGCAAATGCAAATCGTTCGGTGCTTTGTCCTCCGCACACAGAAGTCTTCGGAAGTCCATGGTCCCCATCTGCCCCAACTCTCGTTAACTGATAATGAAGGCTTTGCAATGCACGTCTAGTTATTTACTTATTTATTTAAATGCACCACCTGTAGTGAAAGAAGCAATGTTCAATTCTAAAACTGATCGAGAAGTTGTGCCTGCTCCATAAACAAAAGCAGAAGCAGTAACTGGTGCACGAAGGCACGCAGGAGGCGGAGGGAGAAGAGTGTGGCCACGGTCCTGGGGGTGAGAGCGGGTAAACAAAGGTATTTTACAAAATAACCTGATACAAGAATTGTTGATAAGAAAAGCTGACCCACAAGCTAATTGAATCATGCAAATAATCGTTTAGCCACCAAAACAACACCTAAAGGCTTCAACAGCTGACTGGAAAGGAAACGTGATGGGCAGGCAGCTCCTCCAAGCGCAGCCTAGCCTAGGCTCCAACCTAGCGCGGGCTGGTAGTAGTGAGCACTAGCCCTCCTCCTGCCTAGCTACACTAACCCAAGTAGTAAGTAGTTATATTTATCAAAGACCATTTGCTGCAAGTGATTAACGTTAATTTGATTTCCTGTGAGTCAATTTCCTTGAGATATGGTAAATAAGCTATTACCTGTTATTGACCTTTACTTTATTAAAGATTTAAAATTAGCATTTATATATATACGTCCTTCCAAAAAAGTTTTTTTAATAAAGAAAAATATTTTTATAATCACATTATACTTGCTAGCTGAGGCCGTAGTTCCAAAGTTAATGTTAAACAAAGATGGTAATTAAGAGTGAATATGATGATGATTTTTAAACTCATCTAAAGGACTGACCCCTTCCTTCGCCTCCACTTGAATTTTTGCTCCCGAGCAGAGCAGGGTGGAAGCGGAGGCAGGGGCTGGCGGGGGCAGCCTGCGGGTGGGAAGGCCCTGCCCTGCAGGCGCCTGCTCCTGCTCCTTGCCAGGGTGTACCTCACCCGGGATTTCCAGCCTCCTCCGGGGAAGAGGGCACCACGAGCTACTGGTATTTAAAGAAATGCTCAGCTCCTGCTTGGTGACAGTTTGCACTTCTGGTAGCCTACTCATCTCCTAGGTCTGACTTACACTGAGCAGGAAGAAATTACGTCAACGTTTGATCATGAAAGCAAAAAGTTTATTCATGTTTGAAACTACATATAACTACCACGAGGAAGACTTTTCAATCCAGGGTGTAATCCAGTTAGAAAGTAACACGAAACGGTTTAATACATTAGAATCACTGCCACAAATTATTTTCATGACTCAATCAGTTTCAGAATCGCATACAATACAAAAGAGAGAAAGAAAGGGCCCCCTGTTACACAGGGGGAAATATACAGTACTGAATACTGAAGTCTGTATGCATTACAATTAGTTGTTGGTTTTTGCGTGGATTAGTAACAAGATGAAGAACATTCAAAATGTTTCTCAGTATTTACAACAGTTTCACTGTTTTGTGTTAAACCTAAGACCCCATGTTTCCACTTTCGCTTCTTTAAAAGTTGCCAATGCAACCCTGATTCTTTTAAAAGATTACAATGTACATTACATTTCATGGGGAAACAAAGAGTTAATTACAAGATGCAAAAAGATAAGAAAGAGACAAACTACAGCGTGAGTATCGTTCAGAGGTAGTAAGTGAGCACTCTAAGCTACAGAACATGTTGAAAGTCTATTGGTTTGTATGAGTTCGCATGAGGTAATAAAGCTGTGTTTGATTGGTGAGATGTATAAATACTCTTTTGCTACACTATGTACAACACTCCATATGATGGTGCTTTTTTCCTTTGCTTTTTTCCTTTGTTTGTTTGTTTGTGGTTTGCTGCCAAGAAGAGGTAACAAATCTTGGCAGGCGTGTGCAGCACCTAGCTCGTACTGTAAAACCCCGGGTCTTGGCTTTCACAGAGATCAGCAGCAAGTGTCTTCATCTCCTAAGAACAACCTATGTCCGGTGTCGAAATACAGAGAGGAGACTCGGGGTCCGGGCAGTTTTAGCAAGAAAAGATGCTCCTGGTTTCCAATCTAATTTGTAGGACAATACATCACAACAAAAATGTGACGAATAAGGATTCTTAAACACAACCATTGTTAACCGAAATAACTGAACAGCTCTTTTTATTCCAACTCTATGAGAGATATGAAAAGATTAAACACAATCAAAGTCTGCAATTCATTTCAACTTTCCATGGAAATATGCATAAAGTTAAATTTAGGTGAGGTGTTTCTTTGTGTCTGCTCTTGCTATTGAGGTTAAGCTTGTCCTGTACTTTTACCCTTAAGGCCAAGTAATTGGCAACTGTTAGACCAACATCGTTAAAACTGCTGATAATAAATTATGATAAAATAGTTACAGGGCTATAAACAATGCTAAATCTTGGCCTAATTGGATAAAGTGCTTTTTAACATTGTGTGTTTTAAGTATAAATACAAATGATTATGATACCTTTAAAAAACAGATTTACCAAGTTTTCTAATAAGACAAGGTTTTACAGTAAAGCTGTAGGTGGTAGGCTACAAAAAACTCTTTCCTTTTTCTCCTGTGACTCTGAATGCGCTAATCAAGGCATCTCAGCTCAGGGAAAAAGTGTTGCTAGGAGATTAGTTAGAGGTATCAGAGTGCACACTTCCCGGCCCTTCTGTAGGGGAAGTCACAGAAGATGGAGTAGTTGCGTCCTGCCAGCCTCCATTAGCCTGAAAAGGGAAAAACAATTCAATTGATACAATTATGCATATTAATTATACCATGCACTGAAAGTATCAGACTGGCAAGCCCGGGGTTTGGGAGGAGATGCTCTGGGAGGGAGATTTTCCTACACTCCCCCTGGCTGCAGAATTTGTGAAAGGAAAAAGCAGCAGGCGTTACGCGAGGGATGCTGAAAGCACGCTCTGCGATAACGCCGAGCCTTCAGCGGAAAGGCACGTTGAGAAACCAGAAGCCGTTTAGCCAGATGTTAGCTGCAATTAGGACTCTGGGATTTCTGCAAAGACCATCCGCACTTTAATGAAGAACATCCCTTTAGCCAACACTTCAGCTTTTTCCCCTGAGAAGATGAGTCTGGGGCCATCGTGTTTAACCCCCTCGCCTCCCCTTGCTTCCCAAAGTTCGGAATTGCCTTTCTCCACCCGGCAGAGCCCTCCGCAGAGCTGCTCCACCCGGTGAGCCTGGGTCCCTGCAAATATGATCCGCCAGCACACAAACGTGAGGCTGCGAGGCGGAAAGGGGCTGCTCGGATCAGTTTTCCAATTATCTCTAAACGCAGCCCCTATTTCGGACGCCGGTCCATGTCTCCGCACGCCAGCGGCCCTCACCGCGTCAGACCTGCATCAGCAAGAGCAGCGCTCAGGAACAAATTTGCCTTATGTCTCGGCCGATCGAGGCAATTGCTGAAATCAATGTCTGATCAAATTTCTGCTGTGGCAGACAGCTTGTCGCTACATATTTTTATGTCAGTCAAGAAGAGGGAGGCGCGGGGCTCGTGAGTTGGGGGACGCTGAGTGGAAGGGACGGGGGGGCCGCTCCACACAGCCCACGAGAGCCGCCCCG